GGGGCACACAGCATCAGTAAGGGTTCACAATCCCAATCCAGGTAAAGTGAGGTCTAATTGGAGGCCCAAGCTTCACCTATACGTAGACCACTTATGTACCCAATCCTGATTTGTACCCCACATCTTTAAAATAAAAAGGAAATAACAAAAGGAAGGAAGGAAGGAAGGAAGGAAGGAAGGAAGGAAAATAAAAGCTTTCCATTTCAGGACCAGGAAAGTTCAATGGTTTCAGCAGCCATGTTTAGTTGCCATTGTTATTTGTCCGTTGTTGAAGGAATTTTGAGGTTTCTGGAGAGAGCCTTGGTCTTCTAACAAGGATGGATGCTTCTGATAAAGGCTACATGGCTTTTGTAATCTTTCCATATGTACAGTAAAGGAAAAGAGGACCCATATCTCCATCTGTCTGCCATATCCATCCATCCTTTTTTCTCTCCTTCCCTCTTTCTTCCTTGTGTTCTTCATTCATTCCATCTTCACTGACTCCTTGTTGTTAATAAAACACTGTATAAGTCACTGACAATATACAGAGATGTATCAGACGGGGTCCTTGCCTCTGCTAAGCTCGCGTTGCAGAAAGGGAACATGCAAGTCAGAAGTTCAGCAAAGTGCCCCAGGTGCTCTGCTAGTGGGCATCTGAGGAAGAGTGGTACACAGAGGGGGAGAGGCCAGTTCCGTGGGGAATATGGAGCTTCATAAAAGAGCAGATGTGAGAATGATGTCCCTATAGCTTGCTAAATTGCAATCATCCCCTGAATGAGAGAAATAGCATCTCTCAGTGTTCTGACAGGCTTTCCAGTAGCCATTTACACTCTGAATTTGCTTTTGTGTGTTAAAATTTATATAATCAGATAGATCACATGCAGAAATTATATATACTGGTAGGATTTCTCAAAGTAGAACCTTTGATTTTAGAATGAATCTGCTTATCCTCCACTCCCAGAGAATGGTGTTAGTGGTTTCAATGTGCTTCACTTGAAAAAAAAAACAAACAACTTTTTGTTTTGAAATAATTATAGATGCACAGGAAATTGCAAAAATACACACAAAACTATACAGGGAAATCCCACATACCCTTCACCCAGTTTCCTCCAGTGATAACATCTTGTGCCATTATAGTAAATGCATATTTACTTTTATCACAAAATAGAAAAAAGCAAAATGTAGTTAATGCACAAAAGACATCTAACGTTTTCCTCTGGTATGAGCTAAAATGTATTTAAGGTCTTTGTGAGACCAGCACATTAATACGCTTCATAAATTACAGTAAGTTTTTCACAAAGATTGCTTAACTAGTGCATGGATCTAGGAGTAAATTAAATTCCTGATGTTTGTGAAATATTGTTTTTTGTTTGTTTGTTTGTTTTTGAGTTGGAGTCTCACTCTGTCGCCCAGACTGGAGTGCAGTGGCCGCTCCCAGCCACTGCAGCCTCGACTTGCTGGGCTCCGGCGATCCTTCTGCCTCAGCCTTCCAAGTAGGCGGAATTACAGGCATGCGCTACCATGCCCAGCTGATTTTTTGATTTATTGTAGAGATGAGGTCTCGCTGCCCAGGCGGGTCTCGAACCCGCGGGCTCAGGCAATCCACTCACCTCAGCCTCCCAAAGGCGCGGGCTTACAGGCTGAGCCACCGAGCCCGGCTAAATATTGGTAATTTTGAGAGATCATAGAGTCATCATGAAAATCTTCTTAATTTAAATGCTACCAGACATTAGGGTGAAAAAACATTTTTTAGGACTGATAAAATCGGTATATTGGTACATGTGAAGAGAACCTTGTATACAATGAATTCTTGTACATCTCTTTGTTTCTAATATCACACACACACACACACACACACACACACACACCTACCTCTGTATGTGCATGTTTATTTAGTATTTGTACTCTTCACATCTCTGCTTCCAGAAGTATTTGAAGTAGTTATTGAGTTGAGTTTTGTGTACCAGTGGGTGATTGTGACAGAAGAAACGTTGGCATATTTATAAGGAAGTGTGCCAAGACTACTTGACACATGGTAGGTGTTTAATAAATGCTTGCTGAATTCTTTTTTACTCTAAGGAAGCATTTTAATCTTTGAATGACAGGTGAAAATTGCTTGAACTTGCTTTTCTCTTAGTCTGAGGTATTTTTATATATGGTGGCTGGTGATGAAAATCTCTAAACCTTCCTAAATCTTTGTTCAGGGTAATCAAGTCTATCAAGGAAAGAGTTACAACAATTGTATCAGTTGATATTTTGGTTTCAATATTTTATCTCAGAGAAGAAAATTTATAGTTATGTAATAGCAGAAACTTGCCACATATTTAAATTTAAAAGCACTTTTACCATTTACAGAACTTGTGAAACCTTAAAGGTAGTTTTTAAAAAATATTTTAGTAAACTTCTTATTATTGTGTACCCATCATCTTGTTTCAGCAATTATCAACCTACAGCCAAATTGTTAAAATTACAGCCCTAAACATGCTTTGTTCATATTATTTTGAAGCAACCCCAGATATTATATAATTACATCCATAAATATTTCAACATGTATCAATAAGAGTATCTTAAAATACCATTCACACACACACACACGCACGCATGCACACACACACACAATTATGGCACTTCCTTAAAATCATTACACATATGGTCAGTGTTTGCTTTTTTCTAAAGTATACTTTTTTGGGGATACAATTTGTTAATTTGAATCTGAATCCAAATAAGTTTCACACTTTGTGATTAGTTGGCACGTCTCAAGTCTCTTTGGATTTATAGATTTCTCCTTCATCTCTCCTTTTCTTGTACATTTTTTTGTTAAAGAAATGAAACGCCTTTGTCTATTAGTTTCCTACAGTCTGGCTTTTGCTGATTTAATCTTAGCTGTGTCATTTGCTCTGTATTTCTATAAATTGAATATTAGATCTAAGGACTTGATTAGATTCAGGTTTGCTATAAAGATTATATATGTGTACTTACAAACCTGATTTCTAGATGGTGATGGATAGTCTACCTGGAAGCTTATAATGTCTGACCATCCTTCTTTTTGAATGTTCGCAGTCAGTGATGATTATCCCCCAAACCTAGTCATTAGGGCTTGCAAATTGAAGTCAACCAGAAATTTAATAACAATGAAATGGGCTCCCATGTAACAGGTCAATAGGAAAAAAAAAATGTGTTTAGTAAATTAAGTTTTTCAAAAAGCAGCACATCCCAGTGGTTGTATTAATAATGCAGGCAGAATCTTATGATGTTCGGGTAGAAAGGAATTTAGAGATTGTTTCGCCCAGTGTCAGATGAGAACACTGAAGACCAGTGAAATGAAGTCCCTGGCTTTGAGTGATGAGACCACTCTGCTGTTGCTTCCATTACACGAGTAGTTCACTTTTTCACAATTGAATGCAGTTTAGCTTATTTCTTTTTATTTTCACAAATCATGATATAATAATTGTCTTTTCAGTTACAATTTTGCAAATGCTACTATTGACTGAATAATGTGTAGTGGCAAAGAAATCCAGATATGAATGGTGTCCAATTTCAATTTAATGCATATTTTGCCTCACATTTAAGATACAAATGTGTCTTTTCTGTTTTTTACATCTTTTTGATACTATTTACTTTCAAATAATTTTAAAACTAAAAATATTCCTGCTTTAAAAAACCTTATAGCCACAGAAATGTTTTCAGTTATTTTCCATAAAATTCAGAGGGAGAAAGTATGTACCTTCTTTCTGTAATAACCACACATTTTCAGTTTGAACTGAATTTCTCATGTTCCTAATACCTTATTTTAAATGTTTAGGTTCTGGTACCTTAGTGACTTGCCAAGCTAAGACAAAGATGAAGATGGCTTTTTAAATTGTATGACATTGCTTCTCAGCCTTTTGACTAAGATCAAGTATAAAATGTATGGCAAACCACTCCCATGGTACAGAAATATTATATTTCATTAGTTATAAGAAACAGATTGCACAGTGTCCATTGCCTATAAAAATGAAAGCCAGGCTGACAAATCTCATTCTGTGGCATCACTAGACTTTTTTTCTTTCTAATATTAGATAATATTTGTTTTGAGTATGATGTTCTATTAGCAATGAAGAACAATTAGCAAATTGATGAAACCAGGCAAAATTAGATGCTAGCATAAGCATATGATTTTGTGTTTGAATTTTAAATTTCTTCCCTTTTATACTGTTTGCTGTCTTCAAGTACTACTATTTAACAGTGACAGTACAGTATTTCCCCTTATAAGATAAATACTATTCTTATCCATGACCTTTCCAATTACCTGTCTCTCTTTGCTCTCCAGATAGAATGCCTCTGTGTCTTCACCCAGGCCCAGCCCAGGCTACATCTCAATTTACCTTTCTGCCAGTGCACACAGAAAGGCAGAAAGGTTTGACCAATCAGGGACATCAGGGACATGATCTACCTCAGTGATTCCCAGACTTGGTCCTGGAGAAGAACACACAGCAGTTCTGTTGTACATTATCAAAATACTGATTTTTTTTTTTTCCGACACTGAGAAAAACTGCTATTGTTGAGTTTGGAGGGGCTAGCTCACAAAACAGCTGTGGCTCTTAGAAGTAATGTTGACTTAATGACTGAAGTTAAGCAGGATAAAAATCTGCTCAAATAAAAACTAGCCACTGTTACTTGCTCTGCTTTTATCATCAAATTCCTGAAGAGCTTCACGTCTAGCAAGAACATTTGAAACATTTTGCTGTTTCTCTGGATTATTCTTACATAGCTAATGATGTCAGTGCCTACATTTTGCTTTAATTGGATGGAACACATCTGTCAAAAGGGGTAGATTTCAAAACAAGGGTGTACCACCATGGCTATAGGACATGGAAATTGGAAATATTTGATCCCACTTAAGTTGTTGATCTGATCATTTACATTTCCTTTCATATATTAGGGGTGCCAAGGCCCAGAAGCCAACACTATGATTCCTATTGGGTTCCCATTATCATGTGGAATGTTTCTAAGAAGTTGAGACAAGTTGCTCTCTCCTTTCTCAGTTCCATTCTCTGCTTCTCTGTAAATGCAACCTACCTTTTCCGTCCCCAGACTTATTCTGAAGCTGTGTGACTGGTCTCCAGTTTGAATATTTAATTAACAAGCCATAATATAATTTATTTCTTACATAATTTAGAGTAATACATTTATTAATTGAGTTTGCCTTTAGAAAATCATTTTACCTGTCAGTAGAACTCTCTATAGGGCGTGTGTGTGTGTGTGTGTGTGTGTGTGTGTGTGTGTGTGTGTGTTTGTGTGTGTGTGTGTGTTGGTGGGTACAAGTACACTCAAACTGGGGCAGTATGTATATATTCTATGTACTTGCTCGTGACTGCAGAGATATTTGAGCTTTGGCCACGTGTTCAGTCTTATGCTTTGATAACCTCTACTTGTAACCCCCAAAAAGATAATTTGACATTTGACACTGGGTGAGCCCTATTGTCCTCATGCTTACGTACAGCTTCATGACTGATACAGTCAAATCTCAATTAAGATTTTTCTAGAAATAAGGTTTTCTGGTGTCTATGATGCTAAGCAGAAAACCCCTTATGTCACTATAAATGCCACTATTTGTTTCAACCTTATTGGTGAAACCCCCATTCTAGTATATTAATACACATTTTCTTGCTTAAAGTTGCTAAGGATGGCAAACCTGTTAAAGAGAATTCCGTTTCTCATTTAGAAATTTGGGGGCATGAATATCAGTTTTTATCATAGAAGATAATGGATGATGGGCCTAAATCCATATTATGCTTAGGTCATGCTCTCTCAAGAGAGGATTGTGCTGTATGATGGAGTTAAGGAGTTCGATTGATTGGATTCCCTCTAGTTAATTGAGGTTTTTTTTCATTCTTTACGTTACAGTGTTGAAATGGCTTCCAGATTTTAACTGGGCATAATCTACATGCCAGTCACTTGCAGAAGCCAAGCCCCGATTTCCAGGTGCTCATTGCCATCCTGGTTGCATGGGGACTTTGGGCTCATTCTGTAATTTTCTTAAATTCTGCCTAATGGTCGCTACTTAATTTTGTGGATGAAGCTCTTACAGTGGATTCATTGAAGGCAAGTTCAGTTAAAGACTCTTCCTCTTCCTTCTTTTGCCATCATTTGCTCCCCCTTCCCCCTCTCTTGTTTTTCTCTCCCCTTCTCTTCTCTCATTCACTGTTAGGAAAGACTACCTTTGAAGGGACAATTCTGTACCGAGCTGCACCGGGAAAGATGGAGGGCCACAGACGCTATTACAGTGAGTGACCTTAACAGCAGGAGGCAATTGTAAAGATAAGATCTGGGTACTTGTGTTTTTTAATGCAGCTGCCCTCTCCTGAGCTGCTCATGCTTACGCCAAGTGTCTGTGTGAATTTCTGATCCAAGGACATGGACTTATTTGCCTAAGATAAGTGCCATCTCCTTGGTGTGTGCTACAGGAGCATTCCCAGCACCAGCCTCTGGCGCTTTCCTGTTTGCTTTGTGCCTCTATCATGTATGTGACATGCGTGCATGAACCATGCGTGCAGACAAGGAGCAGTAGCATTTGTCATGGCATATGTATTTGTTCCAGTATTTCTGGATTTCTGGGGTAGTAGAAGATGGCTTCCTATGGAAGTGTCAACTTCTCACTCTCATGGTTCTTGCTTTTTCTGAGTGCATCACTGGGAACCAACAAACCATTTCATCATTGTGCAGTTCAAAAAAATAAGAATTTGGCATGAAAGTCCATGCCAGAAATGGTGTTTTGCTTTGCTCATTCAGCCAATTACCACACGGCAGACTTCTTTTGGCAGGACCCACATGTAGCCTTTTGTGTTGTGAGATGAGGCTGCCAAAAGTTGAGGGGAAGGAGGTAGATGAGGTGAAGGAATTCACATCTCATGATGCCCGTAGACCACTTCCTGCTCCACAGTAAGCACTACCCATGTGAGTGCTAAATGAAAAATAAGCAAAAACAGCTCACAGATCTCAACTGATCAGTGCTGGAAAACATTCCACAAAAGTGGACAGTTACAGGACTGATGGAAGCAAAACTGAGGACGCTTTGTTCTTTCTTTTTTACCTTGAAGAAAAAGTATCCACCTTAGTGTACATATACACATATGCATACGTACATACATACATGCACGGATGTGATGAAAGAGAAGGTTCACACACAAACCCCAGAACCATGCTTTGCAAACTGACTGAGGAGAAGTTTATTTTTCTTGCCATTCCACTGTGGGAAGATGCGTGGCCTTATTGCACATGACTTCCCTACACACGCGGTGTGCTACCTATGTCTCACCTAGACAAGTCCACCAGCCACGTGTGGAAGTCATACCAGTGCACACTGCTAAAACGCTAAAAGCGTTGCCAAACAGCACACTTTCTGCATTTACTACCACTTACCAGTAATGAGCCTTTCATGAAGTGACCTCTGTCTGCAGTCCACACTGTGAGGTACCGCCTGAGAGTGTCACCTGGCATTCTGAATATGACATGGGGACATTTTGTGGGATAATGTGTGTGATGAGCACCAGTAGCTAAAAAAGGAACATGAAAATGAAAAATCACCAGTCTTTCCCTCCAAAGGGAAGGAATTAGATGTTGAGTTATTTCACCAATGAAAATATTCAGATATTTAATTAGCACACTTAAAAGTGATAGATCCAGGCTGCCAGAATTCCTGGAAGAAAAATCTGCCGTGTGTTTCCTTCCCAGGCCATGCTTGTGTGGTTGAATGACTGTGCAACCTCTCCCTGTGTAATGTAGAGTATCTCTCACAGTGATTAGTACGAAGTTATTAAGATGAGCCCGGAAGGCAGCAAATTCCTAAAACCAGAAGCTCGGAATTAGGATGGCAGTGGTTAAAAATATTATGGTTCTAGCTAATGGAGAATGAATGACAGAAGAACCCTTCAAATTCTTCTCTTTGAAGAACTAAACTAGAGTTGCCCTAATCCATCTGCCATGCTGCCTTCTGGTGGTGGGAGGCGGGACAAGAGAGGGGGCTGGTTATGGTTTCTTTCCACTAACTGTTTCTTTATTTCACCCTTAAATGGTTCTTTCCAAACCAGAAACAAATATCCAAGCCATTTATCACATAGAAAGGATCCATACAGCAAAATGAGAACATGTTAAGGGAGAAATGACACAATATTTAGACTTCAAAATTATATCTCCAGCAGGGATATTTCCAAAAACAATGAACAGACAAACACATGAGTGGATAGCTAATCAAGGGGCTTCTCAATGTTTGCACACTCAAATCCAGTCCTGTGAATTGCAGCCGACCCCCTTGTTGTGGACTGCTCTTCATTGTTCTGGTCCCTGTTCTTGCTCACAAATGATGTCTTTAGTTCATTAAAATGCACACCGGGGATCTTCCTCTTCCCCCACCCTTTTGGCTTAAAAATATCACTTTATGGAAAACAGCAGCAGCAACAACAAATGAAACCATTGTTTTAAGGATTTGATTTTGAAACTTGTTAGCCATTTATAATGACCTTTCTATATTTTGTCTGTTTTCATTTAACAGTTTCTTCCTGCACTGAGACTTCCTTATTTGAATGACTTCAACATTTTATGAGATTTTATGTGAGCAAGTATTTGGTATATCATTCTTATGGACTAGGAGGCCACCTTACCTGTAGGAAGACAATGCACGATTGGCTGATAGAGAACACAATTGGATGGCGTACTTTCATGTCAAGGATATCGTTGTGACCAGGAGAGATGGGTAGCAAATGTTCAGGAGCTATTCTGCACGTCTAGAGGCTTCCAGAGACAGGTTTAACAACAGAATTGAGTATTCCATAAAATATTCTCTGACTCCTACCCTTTGATAGTATAATTGACATGCTGACCATCAAAGGGTGAATGTACACCCATAAATTAACTAGACACAAATAGGCTCTTCCTTTTAGGAACATGATTGTGGGCAGAGCCTGGGGAAAAAAGAATCTGGGGAGGTAAGTGTCCATGTTGTCGTGCCCATAACTATTTTGTGACTTACAGCACATGCCACAAGAAGTCAAAGGAAGAGTTTCATGTCCCCAATGTTCTTCTTTGGAAAGGGATTGAGCTTTGGGAAGACAGTGGTGTTAAAGGAGGCAAGAAGAACTGTAGGCTTGGGGGCTTCTGGCCTCTGGGAAGGCGACTTTCTTTCCCTCTTTAACAAACACATTTTGCTAGCAAAACCGTCTTAATGTCAAGTTTGGTTTAATGCTTTTCTAGAGAAACATGTCTGCATGCATTTATGCCTTGTGAAGGCATCCAAAGAGATTTAATTCTTTGGCAGTTATAATTTTGTGTGGTTTCTTTAATTGCTAATTTGTTTAAATGGCTTTTAGCTTTACAGTTTCCCTTTAGGAAATGTTACTTTCATTGCTAATTGCTAATTGACATGAGTCATAGCGATTGGAGGTACAGTATGTGGTACTGACTAGGTGGAGAGGTGACAGAGGGGTGGGAGGGATTGTTATTTCACACACTACAGTAAAACAAACTTGAGTTTGGACCAGGCCCCGACTGAAGAGGGGTGAAATTTCACATGTGCATAGAGGTCTGCTCTGGAGTTAGATTTTCTGAAAAGTTGTTTTGATTTGCTTCTTAAAATTAAAGGCTAGGAAGGGGGAGATAAAACAAAACTCAGAGTCAGCCAAACTACTCAACACGCTGAATACAAAGCCCAGTGCAAGTTATCCTGTGCCCAGTGACACTTTTAGAGGTGGTTCCTGACTGGCTGTGAAGTTCTTCAGGGCTCCTGCTGATTTCTGAGCTCTTTCTCTCCCCATCCCCCCTCTAAACAGGTTTAAGGGAAACCACAGGCTCCGAGAGTGATGGGGGTGACTCAAGCAGCACCAAGTCCGAAGGTGCCAACGGGACAGTGGCAACTGCAGCAATCCAGCCCAAGAAAGTTAAGGGAGTGGGCTTTGGTGATATTTTCAAAGACAAGCCAATCAAACTGAGACCAAGGTCAATTGAAGTAGAAAATGACTTTCTGCCGGTGGAAAAGGTATGTTTGACAGTTTCTGTTTGATGTCAGCATAATGTGGAATATCCAAAAGTACACTGTGGTGTTTGGTGCCAGAGGCTTCCGATGCCTCTTTTGGGATTTTGGTGTCCTTATGTACTAGCTGTTTGCCCCTCCACCTTTTTTTTAGCTCTCCCTCTGTGTGGGACTTTCCTCGAAAGGCTTATGCTCAAGTTTGCTGCTTCCTTTCTTACTAATCTCTCTAGGGAATGCTTCTCAGGATGACTGAGACCATCTCTCCTGGTCACCACGATACCCTTGATATGGACCAGCACTTCTCCATCTCCTTCCCAGAAAAGCTCCCCATGCCTGGACCCAGCTAAATGCATGACCCTTACACTTTTCAGACACTGGCCAATCTCTCTTTTCTCCTCGTATATTTCTCTAGTGCTGTGTTCTTGGGTGTGCTGAATGTGGTTCTGCAGTAGAGAAAAGGAATTGTGCATTTTTTTGCTAAAAGTTAGATGGAGATGATTTCAGACTACTGAAAGAAGTCTCCTGCGGGTGTGAATGATGGAGATGGCCTGTGCTGTGACTCCCTGGGTTGTTACCATCAGGAAGCTGGCTGTTTCCTTCTGCCTCTGGTTCTGGACTGGTGAGAGGCAGACAGCTTGTTGCTGCTGAATACGTGGTTGCCATGGCAACACACCCAGAGCCCTTGTGCTTGTGGCTGCTGATGACGTCTACTGTGGTATACTTCTAAACATTGTAGCCTTGCTTAGGAGTTGATAAATACTGTGGAATTTTCCAAATTGTTATAAGCTGCATTCGTGCTGTGCTTAAAGAATGTTTCTTAATTTGATTTAGTGCTAAAATGTTTGCTTTGATGTTTATGCCAGGGGATGGGGATTTTGGTAACATCTCTAATGCAGGTTCATCAGTGGCTTTTAAATGTTTTTCGGTAGCATGAAATTTTAAAGGCTGCATCAACTTCTGAAGCTGTAGAACTTCCACCCCTCCACCCACCCCCCAGCCAGCATGCCCAGTGTCATCATGCATTAGAAACAGAATCTGAAAAGGAAACTTCTTGGACTCTTAATCCATCCCCTTGGAGATGAGTAATACAGTAAGGGCAGATACCTAGAAATTAAGGACTATTTCATTTAAACTCTTTTTGTTGTTGTTGTAGAAGCTGCTCTGAGCCAGCATTGTTCGTTTTAGCAAACCAGTATGTGATATTTTTCAAGATCTGAAAATGATCTAGTTAGTATCTCAGCTTGTGAGCTCACTTCTGTTCACATAATCACATACAGATTCTTGTAAATATTTACAAAAGAGCAAGTCCCCATTTTGGGAAGGAATAAGGGAGACAGTTTTTCTTCATTTTATTCAAGTGGTTGAAGTGAAAAATGACCATTGAGTCAGTCAGCAAACAGTTCATTCCTTTTATTTGTTTTCTGATTCTTGGTCTTTTTCTTCTGTAGGAGGACATTTTGTGTGTGTGTGTGTGTGTGTGTGTGTGTGTGTGTGTGTGTGTGTGTGTGTGTGTGTATGTGTGTGCATGCACATGCACGTGTGTGCATGCATGTGTGTGCTAATAATAAGTTGGGTTGTTATTAATAGTTATGCCAATGTCAATTATAACACTCAAGTTTCTATCTCAGCACACTTCTCTGAACCCCAGAACTATATGTCCAACTGCCTACTTCAATATCTCCACTTGGAGATCTTAAATTCCTATCAGTTTACCCAAATCTGAACTCATTGTCCTCCTCCAACTGCTCTACCCACAGCATTCCCCATGTCAGTTGAAGGCAGCGCCATACCCCTTCCCATTGCTCAGGACAGAAATCCTGGGGATGTTACTTCCTCCTCTTACTCTCAGGAAATCCCATCAGCTCTGCCTCTTGAGTATGTCCAGCATCTACCCACATCTCATCACCTTCACTGCTCCCTAATAGGGTTTCCTGCTTCTCCCCTTCCCCCTAGTCTAGTCTCGAGGCAAGCCTTCTAAATCCCAGGTCAGATTATGCTACTCCTCTGCTCAGATCCTTGCTAAGGCTCCCCTGAGAACAGAAGTGAAAGTCCTCACCAGCACCCGCAAGACCCAGCCCTCATTGATGCTTGGGTTTCCTTCCCTGCTGCTCTCTCCTTTTTTTCTTCATTCTGACCTCCTTGCTCTTCCTCCGACATGCCCCCACACATTCCCACTAGGGGACATTGGACACAGCGATTTACCCAGCCTGGACCACTCTGCTTCTTCCTGCCTACTTGGCTACCTGTTTTCTCCCTGCAGTTTTTGCTCAAACCTCACCCTGACCCCCTCCCTGGCACTACATATTTTCCTGTTGTTGCTCATAATTTTTTTTTATTATAGAGATGAGATCTCACTATATTGCCCATGCTGGTCTCAAACTCCTGGGCTCAAGCAATCCTCTCTCCTTGGCCTCCTAAAGTACTGGGGTTTTAAGCATGTGGCACCATGCTCAGCCTATGTATTTTGTTTTCTGTAGCATGCACTATATTCTAACATACTTAATTTTTATTATGTTTCTTATTTTGTTCACTGATGTATTCTATGTGCTTAGAACAGTGTATAGCATGTAGTAGGTGCTCAATAAATATTTGTCAAATGAATAATATTTAAAACTATGTTAATATTGCACTTAGAGATTATAGACATCTATAGAATGAGGGGACTGGGTGGGATAATGTAACAGTTGTATAGTTGAAATGAAACAGGAGGTTTATTGCATTGGTATTGGTGACATGAAATGCTAACTTCATCAGATATGTGTGTGTGTGTGTGTGTGCGCACATGTGTGCATGCTGTGCATTCCTAATCTGAAATCCATGATGCTACAAAATCAAAACCTATTGAGCACCAACATGGCACTGAAAGTAAATGCTCACTGGAGTGATTTGAATTTCAGATTTTTGATTAGAGATGCTCAGCCTGTATGTATTCTGCAAATAGTCTAAAACTTAAATCTGAAATCCAAAATACTTCTGGTTTCAAACATTTTGGATAAGTGATACTCTACCTGTGTATGTACGTGTGTGTGCGTGCACATACACACATCCCGATTCCTGATTTGTCTGCAGAATGAAGCCATGTACTGGAGACTTCCTTAACCCACTTGTCATTGTGAAGCCTCTGGGGAAAACATAAACTTCCCAGCCTACTTTACAGGCTGCAGATAATTTTTACAACATTTAAGAGTATTTGAAACTATCTTCATCCCCTGTTGTTGGTGCCATGGATAGTTGCAAGGATTTATGGGCCCATTATGTTATTGCACAACCTGGCAAAAGAACTGATGAGTATGATATAGTTTTATTAGCATACAACCTGAATCGCATCATTTTTGAGATGGTTTTGTGTCCAAGGTTTATGTTTAAGGAGGAAAGTTTCCTTTGAGACTTGAGCTCACTGTTTTGATTTTGCAGAAGCACAAAGTGGATCTAGTGTGACAGCATTCTGTAGGTGAGGACCTAACAGCTGGGACAGCTGGCTTTCTGACATGACTGGTTTGATAACTCAAATGAGGAATAAAGGAAATCTGTCAATTATTAACAGCTGCAAGCATCATAGTATACTTCTCATTCAAACGTATGAAGTATTGAGATCCATTTTTCTGAGTCAGTAGATAATTTTGTGCCTATCTCACCTATATTTTAATCCATATCACCCTACCCAGAGTTTATGATTAGATTATACACCAGGAGAGATATTGTATAGCATCCCTCTGCTAACTGTGAATGAGCAAATAGTGTGTGTAGGTATTCTTGCTCCTCCTATTAAGCTAAAAAGAAAAACTTCTTTTTATGAATCTTTTTACTTTTTTATTTGAGTTGAGGTCTCACTCTGTTGCCCAGGCTGGAGTGCAGTATCTTGATCACGATGATCACAGCTCACAGCAGCTTTGACCTCTGGACTCAAGTGATCCTTCCACCTCGGCATCCCGAGTAGCTGGGATTAAAGGCATGCACCACTGGGCCCGGCTAATTTTTTATTTTTTTCATTTTTCTTTCTGTAGAGATGAGGTTTCACTATGTTGCCCAGACTGGTCTTGAACCCCTGGGTTCAAGCAATCCACCCGCCTCAGCCTCCCAAAGTACTGGGTTTACAGGTATGAGCTACCACACACTGCCAAATCTTTTTAATACTACCAAATAGATATGCCTATGAATGATTTGTTTAATGCACATTTAACTGAAATATTTACAGATAAAATGATATGTCTGGGATTTACTTCCTGTAGTCCGGAAGATGAAAGAGAAGTTGGGGCATAGAAGAGACAAGATTTATCATGGGTTGATATTTGTTGAAACTAGGTGGCATGGACATGGGGGTTGATTACACTCTGTTTTTGTATATGTTGGAAATTTCCCTTGATAAAAGGTTAAAGGGAATAAAAAAAACTTTGGAGAAAAATGTAGCATTTAAACTAAGCTCAGATATAAGTACATGCTATATCAAAATAATAGAAAATACTGTGTGACTAAAGATAAATCAAGTTAAATATCAGAAGATTAGAGGGGCATGGTACCTTTGTTCTAGCTGATTGGACTTGACCAAGTTGGCTTCAGCTGGGCCATCTGTAATACTCTATTTTTTTTTTTTTTTTTTTTGGAGTCAGAATCTCACTCTGTTTCCCAGGCTGGAGTACAGTGGCATGCTGAAGGCCACCACAGCCTTGACCTGCTGGGCTCAGGTGATCCTTCCGCTTCAGCCTTCCAAGTAGCTGGAACTATAGGTGCATACTACCATATCCGGCTAATTTTTTGATTTATTGTAGAGACGAGGTCTCACCAAGTTGCCCAGACTGATCTCAAACCCCTGAACTCAGGCAATCCTCTCGCCTCCACCTCCCAAAGTGCTAGGATTACAGGCTTGAGCCACCGTGCCTGGCTGTAATATCTTTGGTAAATTTGACTTATTTCAGCTAGTGTTTATTGAATGCTCACTATGTGCTCAGAACTGGGGATACAATGGTAAGGGAGACCAGATCACTGCCCTTAGGGAGCTACAGAAAAGT